TCTTCTTGCCTTTTCTTACTCAAGCAGGACCGTAGAAAATTCTGCGGAGGATTTGATATTCTTGTGAGCCTAAGACTAAAATCTGATGCATGCATGCTGTTTTTAACTCCGATCAAAATGCTTTCTTACCTACATCAGAGGTATTGGATTACACGACCAACGATGACGAACTTCCGAATGTCTTTTCTGCTTTCGACGATCTTGAACTGATTACCCCGACAGAAATTTTAAAGAGCTTTAGCATGACGTCAGTAGGCATGAAGAGAGTTGTATAAATGCAGCGCGGATTGTTCAGTCCTTTACGTTACTAGGTACCGGCGATCCTCTAGCTTTGCATCTTGAAGGATCTGCTCCCTGATCGGTTTACATACATCTGATCGAAATGAAACTGTGGCTAGCTAGTGTATGCGCTCTCTTCATTTCGCTTTCAACTGGTAAGTGAACATGTCCCACAGGGGATGGCTCTGACATTTTTCGTAATGATTAAATCAATTAGCCTCGTGGGGATATAGAGTGCAATAAGAGAGCTTGGTATCTTGTCAGTGTTCTCCCAGTTCATGCTTGGTAGTTTTTGATCATTTTTCGCAAATGCTCTTTCCCCATTTTTTGACCTCTGCAGACATAACGCGAGGCGGAACTCGTAACTTAAAGAGGAAAATGTGTCTATGTTCATGTAGTGTATAGAGCGCCGACGACAAAGTTTTGAAGTGAAATAATGAGTTTGAATTTGTGATTTTCAGATATATAACTGCGTCGTGTAGTAATTTATTTTTATCAGAAGTTAGTTCGCGTAAAGGTTAAAATTTAAGTAAAGTGCGTTTTAGTCTAACAGAGGAGTATTACAGTTCCCTGAACAAACTATTAATAGTTACCACTAACTGTTCCCTGAACAGTTCCATAATAGAATACTGGGTGGGGTGGAATCGTTGTACTATGATGTCAAAAATTAATAAGATCAAAAAATTGATTGAATAGCTTTGTCCAAACTCAATTTATTTGCATGTTGCTTGAATTTTCTTCTTGGGGAAGAGAAACGCAACAATTTAACATTCATGCAATATTTTCAGTTCTAGCTCTCAAATGCCAAGAATGTGCAGACATCTCAGGATACCCATCATCATTCAGTTCGTGCACCAGTCAGGATATCAAATCCATCGAATGCACTTCTCCAGGCTTTGATAGCTGTATGACTTTCAAAATGACCGTGCAAGTACCTGGGGAAGATCCACTCAACGCGGAGATGAGGAATTGCAGCTCCAGGAGCTTGTTTTGTGACAAGAACAGCAACCTCGATTGTAAGTGAATATTGGCTGCGACAATCTTGAGATCGGTGCTCCTTTCTTCACTCCCCCCCTACCCCCTCCCCTCCCCCCTCATGATGCATGGAAGTGGTTTAATAAGCTTTCAGACACACCGTCAATCATTTTATAATTTTCAATGAAATTCGTTGTAGCTAGTGAAAAGGTAAATGTCAATGAGCCTAGCAAAAGCACATCTAGACGATAATGCTCGAGAAATATTACATCATAAT